TGTGTTGCCCTCGGTATTTTTCCGGGATCCGGGCCGCCAATACCCTTGGGGTAAATGGCGTCCGAGTCCGGAGCTGGATGACGGGTTCCCCGGAGCCCTCGGCCACCTTCTTCTGTAACTCCTCCATTTTGGCCATCATGGCCTCGTATTTGAGGTCCGAGTGAGGGGTGGAGGTGGTGGCGTGAGCTTTGTTGGACTCCATTTCGTCAAGCCGGCGTTGGAGGGCCGCAATAATCTCGTCCCGGGGATCCTTCGGGAGGGTCTCCGCCCCCTGCGAACGAACCCGGGTCGAGTGGGCCTGGTTGATCTGGTGGCGAGCATCATTGGCATGAAGGGGTGCCTTGCCTTTGTCCCGAGGGGGACGCTCCTCGTCTGCCCTCGAGACAGACCCTCCGCTTTCCTGGGGCCTTTGGAGTGCTTTCCCTCCGAGGCGGTCTTGGACCCCTCCGCGGTCTGGCCCTCCTCCGAGCCGGTTGAGGGCGGAAGTGCGGGGCCTTTCTCTGTTGTCATGGTGGCGGTCCCGGGACTGAACTTCCTGGGAGGACGTATCTTGGGCCACTACCCCTTCGTCGTTCCTAACCCGAGGGATGGGGTTTCCGAAGGGGTGTGGCAGAGGGGGAAGTATGACGTTCTCCCCAACCTGGGGTTGAGCCGGTGCCAGGGTGTCGAAGGCACCCGGGTTCTGAGTGAGCGTGTGGATGAAGGCGGAGAGCGCCGATTGCACGTCGATGGTGAGAACCGGAGGGCTGACTTGGTCATCGCTCCGGTTTTTCTTCTTGGCCTCGATGCCGAGGCGGGCATCGGGGGCATTCTGTTGGATCTGAAGGCGTAGGTCGACAGCCGCCTGTTCCAGCCCAGCGATGACACCGCCCTCGGGAGCCCTATGAGAGGCTTCGGGGGCGTTGACGTCGCCGAGGGCCAGGTTCTTGTCTTCCACGTTCTTGGAGTTGGCACGTGTTGTTCTCACCATTTTTTGTAGAGGGCTAGTGTTTGGCGAAGGGGGAGGGTTTCTTACTTGATTGTTCGACCTCTCAACGAGAGCACCAAATGATGGATAGTGTATCCGAGGGGTTATTGCTGGGAATAATTTAGAGAGAAGTCAGAGCAAGTAAATGTAGAGAGAGAGAGTGTATTATAAATGTGGAGCGTTTTCAGCGTGGTTACAAATGGGGAAATGGGGTGTTATTTATAGTAGCAATAAATGCCGGACAGGGACACGTGTCAAGCGCCTATTGGCCGAGGGGTCACCTCAACTGGTTGGCGTTGGCAGCCGCATGTGGCCGCATTTAATGCGGCTGTTGGATGGGACGTCTGTACAGGGTACGGTGATCTGTACGCATGTGAGGCGGATATCATGTCGGGAGAGGTGCCCTCGGCTGCAGAGGACTAGCCGAGGGCTCTTAGTGCTGAGGACCCCTGAGTGCCGAGGGCTCCAGGTGCCGAGGGCTACTGTTTTCGCCGTTTTCTCCCAATTCCTCTGTTTGTTCGAAATATCCATGCTGTGATAGTTTGGAGCCTTCGTCCAGGGGGCCGAAGGCACCCCTGGTGCGTATTGCGGGCTGCTTGGTACTCTGGGCGCCGTGATTTGGGCCTGTTGGGCCTTCTGGACCTGTTGGACCTCTAAAGGAGTAGTAGGAGTCTGTGGGCCGGGTGTTCCCGGGCCATATACTCCATCACTTTATTTACCATTTTACATGTTATCGATGGTCGAAGTGCTAAAACTAAAACCATATCATCAAATATATCTTTTGTTGCTAAAGAATATTTGTTGTTATCACAAAATTGACACAATCAACCATGGAATATTAATTAACGGCACACAGTAAATCGGTAATCACGAGTCTATTGTTTTAAAGTGGGGTCAACTTAAAAACAAATATTCCACCGTGTCATACCGTGTGCATAGGATCACAAATTAAATCAGAACAAAAGCATATTATAATTAATTAATGTTTCATTACTTGTGTCGGATGCATGAATATTGCTTCTGCCATTTATACAGCATTTTGGTCTTCCATATATCTGGAATAGTATATCGGCTTTTTTTAGCGAATCAACCTAATAAATTAGTTGATCTCTGATAAATATAATACTTCCTAAGTTATAGAATCAACAACTTTTGCCAATTAGTGTTAAATATGTTTTTAATTGAATTAAAAATTTACAATTAGGTCTAGACTTGTTCAGTAAAGGTCTCTTTTATGACTATTGTACTACTCCCTTCGTCCCATAATTAACTCCAGTTTTGACTGAGCATGGAGATTAAGATAGTGAAATTTGTGTGGTCCAGAGTTGCGCAGAGGAGAGAAAAATGTGTAAAAATGGTTGTGAATCACATATTCTTTATTAAAAAGGAAAGGGGAGATAAATTTGGGACGGACCGAAAAGGAAAGAATAAGATAATTTTGGGACGGAGGAGGTACTCCCTCCGTTCCTAAATAAACTTCCAACTTTCTTTTTTCGTCCGTTCCAATTAAAACTTACACTTTCCCTTTTTGATAAAAAATTTGTGGTTCACAACATTTCTTACACATTTCTCTCTCCTCTGCACAACTCTCCATCACACAATATCCACTATCTTAAACTTTGTGTCAAACCCATTTGGAAGTTAAAATGGAAACGGAGTTAGTATAATTTAAGCTATGTATAGTTTGATCTAATCGTTTCAATGATGGTTTTAATTGGACTCAAGTTTTAAGGTCTCATCTTGTTTGTTCTGATCTAAATCTGATTTGATCTAATTTGAACTGATCTGATTTTGTAGCTGTATATTTAATTAATGTATGCGAGTATTCTAGAACTGTCGAAGTCTGATCGGGACTCGGGTCTTAACTAATCTGGCATGATCTACTTTTAGAAAAGAATCATACCAATCCAAATATTTAAAATATTTGCAAAGCCTAATAACAAGAGTTACTATGTCAAAATTCCTAAATAATGAGCAATGGACATTAAAAATAGGCCAATATTTATATTATGATATGATACACCCTTGGGTCAATTTTTTTGATTTGTATTCTAATTTACCTATAGTCATTAAAACCTCCTGTCGTATAATCGCATAGCTTCTCACATTTCCAGATTAATTTGTGGAATTATCAAACCTTCATGGAATTATCAAGAGATTATTACGAAAGACATTTGATTTAAAACTAAAACTTATTTGAGTTTATCGAAGTTTTGACTGTTTTGTGTGGATAGCCTAATCACTTATTTTTAAATACTCCCTCCCTCTGTCCCTAAATAAAAGTATCTGTTTCCTTTTCGGACCGTCCCTAAATAAAAGTTCCCTTTCCATTTTTGGCAAACAAAACAGTGCAAAACAGTGTCAAACAATGCCAAACAGTGTCAAACAGTGTCCAAATAGTGCCAAACAGTACCAACCAAACCCACTTTCTTAAAATGTGTGGAAAACGAATGGATACTTTTATATAGGGACGGAGGGAGTACGAAAATGTAAAGCTTGATAATATCTGCCTATAAGTTGGTCAAGAAGAATTTTTATCACTTTGAGTTCCTAACTAGTGTGTTGATATTTAATATATGCATTTTTAGAATTCTAACATCAAATTTTCCTACATTATGTATATCGGTATTGTCAAATTGACAATTTTAATTTTCCTGCTATAACTTTGGCACAACAAGTACTAAAAATGTAACTATGATAATAATTGAAGGATCTATGTAACTATGATAATAATTGAAGGATCTAAATGTAACTTTAGTAAAACTCAAACAATTAAATATGATAAATTTCAAAAATGAATATGAAAAGTGTCTTTAGAACCACCATAAAAAATGTTATTATTGAATGTTGTTATAGAAGGATTTTAAGAGGCAAAACTCTTACGTACCGAAAATAACCACGTATGGACTGCCCGACTTAAGTGCGTATTTGATGTCACATCAAAACGTTTTTTCACGTCTCAGTATCGCCTAAACGGCTTAACTCGTCTCGTCTTCAAAGGCTTAAGGCTTAGTCTTGTTACCTTGACATGCCTTGCGCTTTTTAGAGCATTATTTATAACTCATGAAAATATGCTCAAAGAATCTCTTTAATTTTAAAATAAAGTGTAGTTTGGTAACGAATACTTTTATTTTAACTGTTTTAATTTGTTAATTAATAACTCCTATTTGACATAAGGTATTAGTAATTTATTAGTAATATAGTGTACAATTTATTATATATTTTACTTCATTAGATAAAAGGCCTAATCTTTATTGTTGCACAGGGTCCCTATTTTGTTGGGACTGGCCCTGCTACTCTCTGTGATGCTTGCATATTGTTCTTGATAGTACAAATAATAAGATCAAATGAGTCTAATTTGATAACAAAATATAGTTAATCCTATGTGTACATTCTGATTATGTTTTTGTTATATTTGAAGCAATTTTGTAACTCCATTATTCATGTACGGAGTATTATTTTTGTAACCTAGGTTGATATGGGGAAATATTATTTAGTCCTGCTTGGTATTATTACAGACAATTTGATCAACTACACCGACAATTTGATCGGTGTTTTATGAAGAAAATCGATTTCCGCGCAGACAAAAATAAAGAGTTGTTTGTATCACAAACAATTTTAAACGAGAAAATCGGTTTTTCATGTTGGGGATACAGACAGATTTTTAATTTTTGTCTGTATGAAAATCGGTTTTCTTCATAAAACATCTGTCAAATTGTCTGTGTAATCGTTCAAATTGTGACAATTTTAGCAGTGTGTAACCGTAAAAAATGGCGTGTACAAAGGAAATTTTCCAATATTTTTTCCTTGGTTATGGTAGAGTGGTAGACTAACACAAGATACCCATAAAGAAATCTGAAATCCGCCCTCCATAAACCACCCCACTCATAGAAATGGAGAATCAAAATATCAGCTTCTAGAATAATAGAATATCGTTGTAAATGTATTACTTACTCTGTTCAAGGAGCATATTCTCTAGAATATATAACCACCATATGCATAATTGAAAGAAGATAAATGAAGTAAATAAACCCAAATACTTCGTATTATATATAGCACTTTCTCCCCCATTCAGCCTACTCAAATCCAAAGCTAAAACCTACGTAAATAAGCTACCCAACTCTCTTCCTCTCCACTCTCTTTTCTTCATCACTTTAATTAACCTGCATGATCTTTTCTCTCTTCAATATGGTATGTTTAACTCAGAATTCCTCTGTACTGAGAGTGTTTCTTGACAGGTTTTTGATCCAAAAGCACTTGTTTTTTCGAGTTAGAAATTCCTAATAATTCCATCTCCTCAAAACACCATCCAAGAATTCTCTATATATAGGAATCAGAGAATGGATTTACACACTCTTACAAACATCAAACCGCAGAAGGAAAAGGTGATCCACAGGTTGAGGAAGATGCAAATGATCACTGCAGCTTTCCGATTTATTGAGGTCTGCATGTTTTTGGTCATCCTCTGGAGATTTTCCTGCAATTTGAGCATTAATGTTCTAAAGCTGTCCGGAGGGTACTTCAGGGGACTATTGATCAGTCCGGGCTTCGTTTTCCTCCTCGGGAACGCCATATTCATCGTCTTGCTCCTCCGGTCCGGGGACTCATCGGAGAGACATGGATCGGTTAATGAAAAGGTTGAGTTTTACGAGGAATTCACGAAGAAATATGGGAAAAGTGGCGATTTGTCTGGGAACTACTGTGAAGAACAAATCAAGAAACAGGGGACCCCTGTTTCAAAGGAGAGGAAAATGCAGAGGAGTCGGTCAGAAGGCACGAAGAAGGTGTACTGTGAGGAAGCTACTAGAAGGGAACTGGGGAGCTTGGGGACTATAACTCGCCGGAAAAGTGAGACGGCAGCTCCGGCAGCTACCGAGGAAATGAGCGGTGAAGAGTTTAGGCGTAAAGTGGAGGATTTCATTGCAAGGCAGCAGAGGGCTTTGAGAGAAGAAGAGTTCTCATTTTTGGTATCGAACTAATAAGCTAAAAAACACAGCTGCTACTTATTGTAAGCTGTAATTACTTTTCTGGTTTTGCTCTTATATTCCCGGTTCTCCTCCTTTATTTTCAGAATAAGAATATACCGGTGGGCGTAGCTCAACTGGTACCAATGGAGTGTCACAAGGGTTAGATTCCGTGTTCGAATCCCTACAACTGCGATGAGGGGTTACTAAGTTAAAAATGCATAGGGCATCTGCTAGTACCGGGGATAGAGCCCCGGTACTATAGTCCTATTTAAAAATGCATAAGTTAAAAATGATTGGATTATAGTCCAATTTACATCCTCCCAACGTACCATCCGGTTGGGGTTGGGGTCCTCCGGGATGGGGTGTCATCCTTTTTTTATTCCGTAGAATAAGAAAAATAGGGTTGGGTAGTTTAATTAGTTATCTTGAAAGAAAACAGTTTGGGTTGGCGTGGGTATTCATATTTCTATTTGGCATCTGAAAATTCCTGTAAATGATGTGTTCTTGAACAGCACAACAGCGATGGATTCTATTTGCACAGTAGTAAATGAAACTTATACTCTCTCCGGTTCCTATTAAAGTTCTCAGTTTGACTTCACACAGATTAAGAAAATAAATTTGACTTTATTATGGAGTGCACTGTTTGACACTGTTTGGACACTGTTTGGCACTGTTTGGCACTGTTTGAACACTGTTTGGCACTGTTTTGTTTCCTACAATGGAAGTGTGAACTTAAATAAGGGACATCCCAAAAAGAAAAGTGAGAACTTTAATAAGAACCGGAGGGAGTAGAAGACACTTGTTTGGCGTTGTGTTAGACTTGGGAGATCGTCATCTAGGACAGTGTTTTTTGAAGTTTTGATTAACAATAGATGTTTGCCAAGATCAATTAATATTGGATTTTGAGATGAATATTACTCTTGGTAAAACAAATAAATGGATATGAATATAATGGTTTTTTGATTTTACAAAAGGCGGAAAAGATGTCCTCCAACCGGAGGGACGGCTGAATTTTTTGATGAGATTTTTTAGGCATGCTCCTAATCAAGTCTAGTTTATTCACAAAACAATTCAGCAAAAAATTCAACCGAGAAGACAGTCAAATAAATATTTGAAAATATCTGTGTTTTATATGTATAATTTGGCGCAGTTATCTTCCAAAATATATTTGATTGCCTTCCTGATCGAATTTGTAGCTGAAATGTTTTCTAGATAAACTAGACTTGATGAGGAACATTCCAAAAAAAATTATCAAAAAAATCCACGAGGAATATCCCCAAACGGTGATGGCCAGACGAAGGATGCTGTCCTTCCTCCCGGAGGGGATCATTCCTCTTACAAAAGGCAACATGGACAATCAATGGTGGAGTTGAGGGTGGGCATGGGACAATTGTCCCCGCTTCCGGTCCCGAAAAAAACTTTAATGCTACGTACTAAAGTCGGAGAAATGTGATCCGCTTTTGATCTCCTTCATTAATATCACTACTTATGTCTCCTAGTATTGGAACTAGAGGTGTCACGGTCATCAAGAAAAGTGGATCAAAATCGCTTTAGCATTACCAAATTCGACATGTGACAATCTTAAAGGGACGGGTCAAAAAGAAAATACGAGATAATCTTAATGAGACAGACATTATTTTTAGACATGTGTTTTGATGTCGTAGAAGTTGCTAAAAAGAAATATTGTTGCGTTTGGAAAAAGGAATCGTACCCACATAAACTTGAACTCTAGGCATGACCCCGCATCAACCATGCCGGATTTGATGTCAAGGGAAAATTCTTAGAAGAAGATTTAGGGCTAAGCTATAGGGAGTGGGTCCAGATAAATTTATTTATACCTTGAGAGTTGAGATAACAAAAAAAAAGAATTGAAATTATGATGAGAAGAATATCAAAATAGTTGATTCTCCAAGTGTAGAACTAGAACCCCACTTCGTAGCAAAACAACAAAAATGACCATTGTAAGAGAAATCTTGACTGCATTAGATATTAATAGGGGTGGACGCGGTCCGGAACGGTCCGGTAAATTGTTAAAACTCGTAATGTATCCGTGAGGTTTTTAACGGTCCGGTTTCAAGAATAGAACCATTCGGTACCATGTTATTTCAGAACGGTACAAAACGGTACGGTACAATGCCCAGGGGTGGACCCACCCTAGGGCTAGGGGGTGCCCGTGCCCCTGCGGTGATTTATATATATATATATATATATATATATATATATATATATATTGGAAAATTCTCAAGTCCAGCACCTCCCGGTCCAAACGCCGTCCGAACACCGCCGTTTGGGGTGGTTACAGGTGGAATATTTTGATGAAAGTTTTTGAGCATGTTCCTCATCAAATCTAGTTTATCCATACCAAATTTCAGGTCAAAATTCGACCGGGAAGGCAGTCAAATAATTCGTGGAAGTTAATTGCGTTTTTCTATGTATAATTTGGCGCAGTTAACTTCAACGAATTATTTGACTACCTTCCCGATCGAATTTTGAGCTGAAGTTTGGTATGGATAAACTAGACTTGATGAGGAACATTCTCAAAAATTTCATCAAAATATTCCGCCGGGAATCGCCCCAAACGCCGGCGTTTGGACAGAAAAGTGATGGACAGAAAAGTTATGCCGATTGAGACTTATGATGTTAATATTAGAGATGAGTTGAGGAGACGTTATTTGAGAAAAAGTCCTTGCCAACAGCGTGACTTTAAATTTCCACAAAGTGATTTTAATGGGTGCAACAGATCATTCCAAAAACAGTGGTTTTATTTAAATTTTATAGTTTTGTTTATTGCTATACTCGTGATGCATATGATTTTTTTCTAGACTAGTATATCATTTCTTTGTTATTGTGCCCCTGCGAGTCACGAGTCCCGGTTCCGCCACCGACAATGCCAAAGACATGCTAAATTTTTTGAAAAAATCTTGTAATTAGTAGATACCATCACACCAACCAATTGACATGAAATGTTGAAATAAATACAAGAAATTTCATACATAGTACTAAAATTCACAAATACACAAATAATGCAACACAACTAAGAAAAAGTATAGCAAAACGATGACGCACGAGATAAATATCATTTTTAATTTACCAAGTTCATGTGAAAATAAAAAAACGAATATCATCAAAATGTTTAATATAATAAAAATCTTCAACGTTCTTCTTCGTTCTAGGTTAATGTTAGAAAACCGGACCGGCTCAGACCTCAATCACCACCAAGCCCAAAGGCTTGCTCACACTCACCACCAGGGATACAATCAGGGAAGACGAAAGGGCGACAGCCAACTAGCCCTCACACTCAGAACCCAGACCCCAGCCCAGAAAACCCACCGGAGCAACGGATACCCACCACACTACCAGACTAGAGTGAAGACCCCAAAAGGAACCCCAAAGTCTCACCGGAGCACAGCCGGAGCTAAAGCTCGGAGTAGACCGGCACTCTCTCACTCTAGGTCTAGGGTAACTGAACGGGAGAGACATCGATTAGAGAGAAGGTGGAGAGGTAGAAATAGGAGGATTCCAGAAGAACCAGACAATATAAGGGAGGGTCACACGGGATGGGCTGGGTATAAGACAAACGGGTAAGGGAATGGGCTTGGTCGGGTAGACAGCCCAATTGGGCCAGGGCATTAAATAGGAGACCAACTCCTTAAATGAGGTGGACCAAAGGCAGCTCAGGGATGGCCCAGTAGTGAGGTGGACCAATACCACTACAATCTCCACCTTATTGGTCCCCCTGGTGGTGTAGAGCACAACGTGAAAGGGGGAATCATCATCGCCGGTTTTTCTTGTTTTACAGTTCTTTTCTAGCCACAATCTAAATTAAGAATACGTTTACAAGACAACAGTTTTTCAAAAGTGAGACATTTAGTCCCCATATCTGCAGGGTTAAATTCTGAAGGTATCTTGGACAGCTTTATCCAACCTGCATCCACAATATTTCTAATAAAATGAAACCTGACATCAATGTGCTTGGTCCTGTCATGGAATACAGGATTCTTGCACAATTGGATAGCAGACTGGCTATCAGAGTACACTGTCACAACCTGCTTAAGAAAACCAATTTCAGTTAGCATTCGTTTAAGCCAAATAGCCTCTTTAAAGGCCTCAGTGGCTGCCACGTATTCAGATTCAGTAGTGGACAGTGCAACAATAGGTTGTAGTTGAGATTTCCAACTTATGCAGGAACCACAAAGAGTAAAAATGTAGGAAGTAGTAGACTTTCTATTGTCCCTATCATTTGCATAATTGGAGTCAACATAGCCAGTAAGTAAAATGCCAGTTTCAGTTTTAGAAAACACAAGACCATGAGAAGGTGTACCCCTAAGGTATCTAAGGAGCCATTTAAGCAGGGGCGGACCGTAGTAGAGACCCAGGGGGGCTACCGCCCCCCCCCCCCCCCCCCCCCAACAAAATTTTTTTTTAGTGTATATATATACGAAAAATGATTTTTGTTCTTCCAAAACGTATTTTGAACCCCCCAAAAAATATTTTCGCCCCCCCCCCCCCCCCCCCCCCAAAATGACTTTCCTGGGTCCGCCCCTGCATTTAAGGGCAGTCCAGTGAGACATACCAGGGTTTGCCATATATCTACTTAAGCAACTAACAGCATAAGCTATATCAGGCCTTGTGCTTACCATGAGATACATGACTGACCCTATAGCACTGGAATAGGGTACAGCCTTCATCCTATCTATCTCAGGAGCAGTCCTTGGGGACTGATCCTTGCTTAGCACAAAATGGGGTGCTAACGGAACATTCACAGGTTGGGCAGAGTCAATTTTGAACTTTTTCAAGACCTTTTCAAGAGCAAAAATTTCAGCATAGTCTACCCCTTCCTTTTGAGTGAAACCTTTAGCCACTAACCTAGCTTTAAACCTAATGTCATTTGGTTCTTCTTTAACTTTGAAAAGCCATTTGCACTCAACAACAGAACAATTAGGAGTCCTAGGAACTAGGGTCCAGGTTTTATTCAACTTAAGAGAATCTGTCTCACTTTGCATAGCACATAGCCAATTTTTAGATTCTCTAGAGGCAAGGGCTTCCTGGTAGGTTTTAGGCTCATTCAACTCAAGAGTTTCAAAAACAGAGAAAGCAAATAATGAAGTATCATACAGGTGAAATGCATAGTCAGTCATGCTATCAGAAATCCTCTTAATGTTTCTTCTAGTCCTATCTCTGGCTAACACATAATCATCTAGACTTTCATTCTCAACTTGGATCTCTCCAAGTTCTTCATTATCAGTGAAATCAGATTGAACAATCACATCATGCAAAGTTTCATCATTACCACTGGGCTGCTCCACCTCACTAGAGGTGGAGTGGGTGTCATGCATAGTGTTGGTCAAATCAGGAGTAATAGACTCATTTAACAGAGGGGCAGCAGTGGTCTGGATAGGCTCCACCTCACTAGGAGAGGTGCCATCATGCACAGTTTGAGGGTCAGTCACATTTTTAACTAAGCAGGGAAAATCACTTTCATTGAACACAACATTTCTGCTTATAATGACCTTAAAACCACTCCGGTTCCTATCCCAGATCCTATATCCTTTAACACCTTCAGG